GGGGCTGGGAGGGGGCCCCGGGGGGGGGCTGCTGCAGGGGTGAGGAATCTGGTCTGGGTCCCGAGCCCCTCAAGCATGAAGGGACGTGGGGGCCGAGGTCATCACACAGGCCCATCGGGGGCTGAGAACGAGGCCGAGCTGGGCAGAGGCCGGGGGTGTCTGCGGTGATGTGATGCGCACACAGAGCAGAACCAGAGGCCGTGCGCCAACCTGCAGTGGAGGCGATTCCCGCTGAGGGGCCAAGGGCCACGCTCGCTCTCTCATCACCTATTTGGGTCACTCTGTGCATTTTCTGGCCACGACAATGTATCACGAAAAGGGGCCCCACATCACTGCTCACAAAGGAAGCGCAAATCAAAACCCCAACACCACGTTCACACCCATCAGGATGGCAATTACAAACAACGAGAGGCCCAGGCGCACGAAATCCACCGGCCTCAGCTGGCCGCCCGCCCTGCCCGCTACAAGAGCTGCTGCTCGTTTGGTCGTGATGGCGTTACGGCATCGTGACCACAGGCCTTTTGTTAATATAGATGGGATAACGGGTGCTGGAGACACTGGAGCCTCGTGCAGTGCGGGCGGGCAGGGTGCACCAGGGGGCAGCTGCCGCGGGAACCGTGTGGCGGCTCCTCCACAAGCTGAGCTTCTGGGTCTGCGCCCTGAGGAAGGGAGGCAGGCTCTCCGAGAGACCCTGTGTCCTCAGCAGCCGTGTTCACAGAGGCCAAAAGGCAGAGCAACCCAGAGGCCATGGACAGAGGGCGGGTAAACACACTGTGGTCCAGCCACACCACGCGACATCGCTCGCCTCCGAAGGCAGGAAGCACGGATACAGAGAACCATGGGCCTTGAGGACGCTGTGCTGAGTAAGAAGCCAGGCGCAGAAGGACAAAGAACTATGGGATCCCTCGTCTACGAGGCCCCAGAGCAGTCAATTCCTAGAGACGGAAAGGAGACGGTGGGCGCCAGGGCCTGGTTTCCTGTAGGCCCGTGAGGAGCCGGGATGGGGAACCGGGAGGGGCCTGGGTCACGGGTCACCTGGTTCCCTTTGGGATCATCGAGCCCGGTGCTGCAGGGGACGGACAGAGGAGGGATCCCACAGGTCGAGAGCTTGGAGGGGACCCCGGACTTCCCTTGGTGATGGTGGTGTGATGAGGTGACAATCATTGCCACGCTAGCATTCCTGTGTGCTAAGCACTGTGTGTAATTCTTCAGTGAAGGGTCCCAGCAACCCATTTAACAGATGAGGAAAATGAGGCTCAGAGGGGCTAAGTCACTGCCTGAGTACTTGCCCTGAGGGAAGTACCGCAGGGGTGGTGCGGAGAACTCCCCTCCCCCCCAGCCCCGCTGGGACTCTGCCCAGGCCCTAAGGCGCCTCAGCCCCCCTCCTGCCCCGGGGCCGAGGGGAGCCCAGGTCCCAACTGTACAGGGAGAGGCCTCCGCTCCCAGCCCAGGGACCCCCCATTAATCTACTGGGGGCCCTGGTGTTGGAGTGGGAGTAGGGCTGGGCAGGGCTCCCTCACTCCTCCGGGCCCTGCAGCGCGCGTAACAGAGGATCGGCCTCCACTGGGCACATCCGCGGGCCACCCATTGTGCCAAGTGCTCTACCCGAGTCCCCCCCACAGCCCTGAGCCCCACGGAGGTCAGGGAGCCCAGGCTCTGAGATGGGAACTGACCTGACCAAGGTCACAGAGAGAGTCAGGCTCGGCAGGGGCCTGGACCCCAAGGCGCACCGCCCCCCAAAGACAGCAGGACCCTGCAGACCGACGGCGAGGGGGATGGCGAGGGGATGGCGAGGGGTTGCTGTCTGGAGGACTTGGGTTGGGGTCCCCAACCTGCCACGTACTCCCGTGTGGAGGGGCCAGTCCCTTAGCCTCTGAGCCTCAGGGAACACATCTGTCAGGTGGGTGTCTTCCCATTTACCTTAAAGGTCATTACACAGATTTTTAAATCATGAGCTATGGGACGCCCATGGCATGGGATGGGTACATATGAAGCTCAAGAAACGAAGTTTAAAGAACTTGAAACGACGGTCCTTCCAGAAGGGAGGGTCTGGAGTCTCGTTCTTCCAAGCCAACACCTTTGTGCCCCGGCAGCTGGTTGCCAGATTGGGCCAGAAACCTCCTAACTAGACAGATGTGCTCCCAGTTCTCACCCTGGCCCCTGGCCGACTAGCTGCATCTCCCTGCGCCTCCGTTTCCCCCTCTTTAAACGGAAAATGCTAATGGCTTCTCCCTCATGGGGTTGTGGGAGGCTCAGTGATGGCGTGGTTTACGGAGAAGTGGACAGACAGCAGACACTAAACACATTATGGATTTTACCGCCACCATCTGGGGCGGGACCGTGCAGGCGGGTCCAGGGAGCGGGCTCGAGCACGCTCTCCACTCCCGTCCTCTGACACCAGGCCCCTGGCCCCCTGCTCCGTGTGAGGCTGGGTGGGCCCTGGGGAGGCCACGGACGAGGAGAGCAGGGTTCTGCCCCAGCAGCCCCCGCGTGGCACCTCGGCCGCCTTGCCCTGCACCCTCCCTCCCGAGCCCATGGCCCGGCGCCCGGAAGGAGCACAGGCCTGGACGCAGGCGGACCTGGTGCAAATCCCCAGCTTGAAGCCTGCGCCAGGCTTTATTTATAGGGGCCTCAGTTTCCTAATCTGTGAAGTGGGAATGATCCTAGCGCCAGTCACGTGGGACTGCTTATTCGGGATAAATAACAAGCCATGTAAAGAATTTAGTCATAAGAACAAGAAAACGATGATGATGCTACACCCACCGTCTCCTTCACGAAGCAACTGCCCCACGTCCCACCCACAGCGTGTCCATCCCCAGACTCTCTGAGGCCTCGGCGAGGAGACGCACGTTTTTATCGTAACTTCCTCGGGGACCAGTTCTCTGGGGTCTGACCCACCCCCTTTTGGAACTGGGACCCCTCGTCAGTGTCTAACCTGCGTCCCACATGGTGGCCACGCTGGGAAGAGCGAGGGATGGACATGGTTCCACATGGGGGTGGAAGCAGAGGTTCCCAGGAGCATTGGGGCTTGGAGGTGCTGGGAGGGTGGCCGGCTGGAGGGGAGGGCCTGCCTCCCACCTGGGCTGCGCCCCCCACGACACCTGGCACAGAGCAGGCTGAACAGAAAGACCTGGCGGCAAAGACGTTGTTAAAACCAACCAAAGACCAGCTCACAGGCCCCTCCCCTGGCCACTCACCCGGGGAAGGGGCAGGTATGGCTTTCAGGAGGCCACCAGTGTGTGGGTGGCCACCCTGAACCCCCTGCACCCCTAGTCCCTATGGGGCCACCTCAGGCAGCTGGCAGGGTCCCGGGCCCAGGCAGGGGGGTAGGGGAGCAGCTCACAAGTGCTGCCTGCAAGCAGCCCAGAAACTCAGGGACCCCCACCTGTGGGTGGGAGTTACGAGATGAGACGCTCCATCCAAGACCCCGATGGGACCCCACCAGCCCGACTACCTGCCTCGAGGCCGCAGCCTCCAGTGCCCACCCCCCAGCTGCCTCTGGGCAGGGGTTCCCAGCGGCCCCCGCCTTGCAGGGCCCTCATCTGCGCATCCCTGGCTCTCTCCCCGAGGCCGGAGCTCGCCTGTTTCTGGGGCGCCCTTCCTGCCTAACCTCATTAGACTGTTCCCCTCTGTTCCGGGGGCCCCGCCGGTCCT